GGGAATTTGTTTCCGTAGATGGACTTTCCGCCGGTGCCGTTGTGGTTTGTGAAGTCGCCCCCTTGGCACATGAAGTTGGGGATGACTCGGTGGAATGAGGAGCCTTTGTAGCCGAAGCCCTTTTCGCCGGTGCAGAGGGCGCGGAAGTTCTCACAGGTCTTGGGGGTCACATCGTTACGAAGCTGAAGGGTAAAGGATAGATGTTAAGATAAAAGAATTACTGGAAATTACTTTTATAAAAAGGTAGAAGAACGTAAATGAAATTACATCATTATTCTTTCTGTACGTAAATTTACCCTTAGGTTCAATTCCAGAATAAGATTTATCTTATATATAAAATTCTTCTGTAATGATGTATGTAAATATACTCCTAAACGATTATTCGGATTTTGATAAAACTTTCTGAAGTTTGTTAAGGAATTTTTCAGGACGTATGTGACTATAAAAATATAGTAATATTGTAGAAATAAATAGAAAAATTTGCAAATAACGCATGTCTAACGTTGAAAATATTTGAAACATTGGCATTGAAAACATGCGAAAACTGCATGCCAAAAATTTCAATTCACCTATGAGCCTAGACAATATTAGAATATGTCATGATTATGAATAAGAAAAATCAAATATCTACATTTTTATTGCCAAAAAGCAGCTGAGATCTGCCAGAAATTAAAATTGGGCAGATTGAATGATACACATATGAACAGGATTTGACAAATTAATGTAAGTAGCATTTCGGCTTGTGCAAATATTAAATATTTGCAGTAAAAATTCATGTTGCTTGTTGCATTTAATAATCAAATTTAAAATAAAATAAAATAAGCGAAAGTAGATGTTGAAAAATCTGCATTTGGAAATATTGTGATTTTTTATAGATCAATGTAAAAAAAATGCAATATGCTAAAAAAATATTACTAATATCTAATTTTAGTAGTCAGTTATAAAAAAAATGGATTTCATCTTGGCAAAACCAAAGATACGCGATAAATGTTTGGGAACTCATGTTTTAGATAAATCATTTTAGAATATGCGACTGCTATTTCAACAAATACACTACATGTATTCAGATGTTTCAACCTTCACTCGATTATGCATAATTTTCAAATTATTAGTCTAAACTAACTTAAAAATTTGGCAAATTTGCAAAAAAATGTAAGAATTATTAGCAGCAACTGATTTTACAAATAATTCCTAAATGAATTATTTCACTTGCCAAAAAGTTTATACAACTTAAACTTTTAAAATTGTTGCCGAATATCAAAAATAAATGTATAAAAGTAAAATTTGAATTTAATAATTAACTGTAGTACAGTTAATAATCAATAAAAGTGACAAACATGGATCAATATAAACATAACATACATTGTCATGTAAAGTTCAATCAAACTAATCATAATAGTTCTTTTCGAGAACTTAATTATTTGATAATAATTATCAACATGAATTGAAATAAGAATTATAACATATAGTTCTATTTTATATAAACGACATAAATCAATATGACAATTCATGAGTGATTGCAACTATTGCAAATAAGTATTCAATTTAATACTTAATTTTTTATACACGTCCGACAAATTGTTTGAAAATTGTTAAACAAAAAAAAAAAATGAACATATTCGGAGTGTTTCCTAAAAGCTGGTGTACTACTTTCAAATATTATGAATAATATGGAATATTTGCTTAGGGCATTAATTTTATTATAAAGGTTCAATAAAATAGCCTTTAACTTTCAAATTATAACATAAATTCTCAAAATAATCCATGTGCACATCGAAGGGTCCATGGCATTGAAAAAGGACTGAGAGTCCTCGAAATGAAAATGAAAATGGAAGTCCAAACTAGTACATTTAATATCTGAATACTCCTGTACAAGTATCTATAATAGAAGGTTGTGTAGAATATTTATAAATACAGTTGAAGAGTAAATAAATTTTTATAAATTTTTATAAAAATGTAAGTTGTAGCACACAATTGTGGTCCCAATGTGTTGGAGCTAAAAGTTTGTGCGTAAAGATCATATTTGCTACTCGAATTATGATGCTCTACTTAACTCGCTGTAGAAGTAATTATTAAACAACGAACAAACATTTAAACATACATGGTGTATGTTTATATTAGATTTATATTTTTTATATTATAGTTATATTTGCAAAGCACCTGTACTATTTTAGAAGATTCGCTTAAAACATTTACTTCATAGGGAAGACTTAAGCATTAGTTAAAGCAGCATTCGCAAACTTGAGCATCGAAAAAGTAATTAGAAAACAATATTTACAACACATGTAAAAGACGAAGTAAATATAATTGGTGTAAGCAACAATTTGCTTTGAAAAAAAAAATTACTTCCAAACTTAATTTTTGTAACAATTAATATACAAATTAATAGAAATTATGCCAAAACATGCATGAAAATTTATAGTTATTCATTTTTCATATTTCAACGTTATTTTTTAATGGTATTTGGAAAAGTAGCAATACGTCCCTGAGCCCCCCTGAAAGGTCACGACCCACAGATTGGAGACCACTAAAACTCACCACAAAAGAAAAAGTTGCATGTACTTCCCAATTTAATTCTGGTAACAATTGATTCATATACAAATTAATGTAAATTATGCCAAAAATTCTAATGCTAAAAAGTATTCTATTATGTAGTCATTAATTTTTCATATTTCAACGTTATTTTCTAATAGTATTTGGAAAAGTAACTATAAGTCCCTGAGCCCCCCTGAAAGGTCGCGACCCACAGTTTGGGAACCACCTGCTTAACACATTAACCACAAAAATTTTATCAAAAAAGTTATTGATTAAACATCAATAACAAAAATATAATTACAACACGTGTCTATTACAAAAAGATTCTTCTAGAACAATTACAAAGCGTACGTGGTGTTACTACAACGATGACTTGTAAAAACAGGGCGTCGTATGTCACTCGCCATAAACCCAAAAACCTCATGGCACAAAAACCGAACAAATATCCATCAATCCCACGATTTACTATCAAATAAACACTCGCAAACACTAAATCAATTACAAAACACCGGCATTTTCGCCAAACCGGCTTGGTTTGCACCGAGGCGTCGGTTATGGCCACGAAACACCCGTTCGCCGATCCTAGCCTTAAATATAATAATCGAACTATGATATTATTTTTATCGCTTACCTCCATAACGATTCTTCCAACCGGCTCGCCGTCGGCGGTCATGTCGAAGAAAACTCGTGGCAGACCCATTTTCTTTGAAAATTCGCGAACTGAATCAAGAACAATCGAAGACTGACGCGTCGTACGAGTAGCGAATTTGTTCTGATAGACAGAAAGAGAGCGAGCTTGTCGGCATATAGAGGCGAGAGCCATTTTAACCGGAAAACGATACGAGCGCACCTAGCGGCGGGAGGGCTGAACTAGGAATGGACTGATATTTGTCGCGTTTCGACCTTATCGGAGATAAGGGTTATGTAATATTTAGTAGAATTTAGAAGTTAATTAGGTTAAATGCGTGTACTTTAAATTTTACAGGTTTAAAAATGTGTAACGAAACAAATTTTGTTATACAAATGTCATTACAATTCCTAACTTTCAAAATTTTGACTTTGAATTTGTGATAATAAATGTTAGGGTGCGGGCACATGAGGCATTTTGTCGGCCATGCTTAAGAAAAAGTTAAACCGATGTACAATATTTAGCAAAGTTAAATTCTAGTTTTATTCTTTACAAAAAAATTTACAAATGTCATCACAATTTCATACTACGTTCAAAATTTTGACTGAATTTGTAATACTAAATGTTAGGGTGTACGCACATGAGGCATTTTGTCGGCCATGCTTAAGAAAACGTTAAACCGATGTACAATATTTAACAAAGTTTTAATGATTTTAAATCACTTAATAAACTAGTTTTGTTCATCACAAAAAACTTTTATGATGTTTATATTATTATATTTATAATATATATGACACGCTTGTGGCGCTATATTGAAACACATCATGTGTTTAAACAACTCGTTATTACTTTATATTTATTCTGATTTATTTTTCCAACTATTTTTGTTTATCCTACAATAGTATCATGTGATGTTATGATAATTGCATTTGTGAATATGTGATTTCTCCTAAAAAAATTACTTTTTTTTTGAAAAAAAGACTTTTTGAAGAAAAGTGTATTTTGAAATGTTTTGGGAGTTCTGAACTTTTTTTCAATGTAATCGTACGGCTTCAACTGCACAGAGATAAAATATCGAAGCGCGTAAGCGCCGCGCCGCCGTCTAACGGAGAAACGTTGGTACGGAACCCATAGCAATGTAAACAAAATGTATACTTATTGTTAAAATCTCTATAAAATATCTGATAATTTAATGTGCATATGTCTAATGATCATTTTTGACCGCCAGATGGCATTTTTTTTACTTTTTTTACCAGATTTCCGAAACCGCTATACCTGCCTTCATTAAAATTTTAGCAGTTCTTCCTCTTGTTAATATAAGTAAAATGTTTTCTGAATTATTCAAATCGGACGCTCCGTTCTCTTAATAACTGAGTTACTGTTTTCGGCACTTTTTGCCTCATATCTTCCGAACGGTTAGACCTGCCTTCGCCAAAAACTAATCAGCATGTCTCCTTATCAATACGAATCAAATGTTTTTTGAATTATTCAAATCGCTTCATCCGTGTTTCCAAAATCGTCGAAGAAAATTTATATCCGAACACACATACACACATACACACACATACATCCATTTTTTCTAAGGTACGCCAAAATATTCAGAAACCTCTGAAACGTAAAGATATATTAAAAAAATTATTTTTGATTTTTTTGCGATTACTATAACTTGCCCTTGGGAAGTTAAAAACTATGTGTATTAAATAAAAATGTCCATCCTAAAATATTATTATAAGCCCTCATACATATATCATATTTCATAAATTTACAAACAACATTTTACTCTTCACAATATTATTTTATTTTTCTATTACTGTTACCTAATTATTATAGTTCTATATCATAACTCTTCTCTATTAAAATAAATATCTGATGGTCCCGGTCCAATAATCTGAGCGCCTCCCAAACATTCACCGTCTTTATAAAAAACAGCATATTGTCCAGGAGTTATCGCTCTTGCTGATTTTTCTAACATAATAAACAATTTATTTACAGAATATTTAACTATACGACATGAAATTAAAGGTTTTGTATGCTGAAATCGAAAAGAGCATTCCAATATTTTGTTTTTGGTCAACTCCAGTGGCTCGTGGCAAATCCAATTCGGTTCGTGGGATAAGACAAATCTTGTGTGCAATCTGGGGTGGTCTGTACCAGCAGCCTAAAAGATAAAAGACCAGAATTTTAGGTCATTTTTAAAGTGTCGTAAAAGAAAGCAATGAATGTTTCTACTATCCATTTTTTTACCACTTGTTTATTATTATTATTAAAATACAACACAAAAATTAAAAAATAACAAAGTTGAAAGTTGAAAATTTATCAAGCTGAATCAATTACTTACTACTAAAATATCAGGGGAAATCTTCTTCAAAATAAAGTAGGCTTTGCTGAACCCTGATAAGTTTGTCCGTTGTCCAATTGTCCACATGTGGATACCATTGTGGGTGCCAACCACTTTGCCAGTGTCCACGTCGATGAAGTTGCCAGGAATGTGATCGACATACTAAAAGTACCAAATTAGATTAGAAAATATTATAAATTTTTCACAGAACACAATATAAAACAATTATCATCCCCTCACCTCTGCTATAAAATCTTGGAAATGCCTTTTCCCAATGAAACAAATCCCCATACTTTCCTTCTTCTTGGCCAACCTAACTAAACCAGAATTTCTAGCAATTTCTTTAACATCCACCTTCCTTAATTCGCCCAATGGAAACATTATACGTCTCAAAGATTTTTGTCTGATTCCACATAAGAAAAAAGCTTGGCATTTTGTTTTGTCAAAAGCTTCCAATAGATGCACATCTAGAGATAAAAAATACTTACATACAGATTATAGAAATTATTTTAACTGTATTACCTGTATTTGGTTGATAGTTTTCCAAATACGGTCCAAATGTTGTTCTAGCGTAGTGTCCAGTTGCAACAGCATCAGCTTGTAAATCGTTTAGTGCATAGTTAAGAAAATGGTTGAATTTCACGTTTCGGTTGCAGAGTATGTCGGGATTTGGTGTTAAGCCTTTTTGGTAACCAGAAACTAAATGACTAATAAAAATAAAAAATAATTAAATCATATTTAGGTTTTCAAGTATAAAAATCTCAAGAGTTTAATATCTACCTAAAGACATCATTCCAATAATGTTTCACATAATTAACTTCACGAAAAGGAATTTTGATTTGATCACACATCCATTTTGCATCTTCTAGATCTTTTGAAGTCGTACAAACACCAGTTTCTTCGCCCGTGTCCCAGTTTTTCATAAATACACCTTGAACATCATATCCTATAAAATAAATAAATAATATTAATGATATATATATATATATATATATATATATATAACAGCTGTATACCTTTTTGCTTGAGCAAAAGTGCAGTTACTGCACTGTCAACTCCTCCAGAGACTCCTACGACTACTCTTTTCATATTTTATTTGCATTTGTTATATATTTAATACAAATCAGTAATAATAGAGTATGATAATATATCAGCTGCAAAATGAAACAAACTTTGTTTAAAAAAAGAATTAAAAATTAAAAAATATACTTTTTTTGCTTCAGATCTTTATCGAAACAGTTATTTATCTGCTTTTAATAGATAGATTAAATTATAATTAGATTAATTTGTCAGATAGAAAACTGAATTGAATAGATAAATAGATTTATTTTATGTTTGCACATTCTAACAAAACAATTATAAATACTTGCTTAAAATGTTGACCGAAGACAAACGATAGAGACCCAAACAAAATAAATGTTAAACTTCAGGATAAAAAGGACATTATATGAAATTTAAAAAAGTAATTAGTGTAAATAATATATAATATTATTGAATATTATTAGTATATAATATAAACAGTATATAATATAAACAATATATAAGATTATTGGTAATTAATGAGCTGAAGCAAAGTATGTATGTGGAAGTAAATGGTAATTCCAAATTAATTGAATTCCTAAGTTACCTATAAATATTAACACTTATATAATTACAATAAATACATTTATATTGAATTTAATTTCAAATTAAAACATCTTTTCATAAATTATCGTTATAATATTTAATTCTGGTCTATAAAAATTTTGAGGTTATGTTGTATTTCTTTCAATGTGTTAAACTGTCAAATGTCATGCGTTGAAGTTGGGTTATGTGTAAAAAGAATAAAATGAATTAAATTAAAATATATTTAATTTATGATTAATTAAAATGTTGAAACTAAATATAAGTTTACTTTCTAATAAAATATTTCATAATGTAAAGGTATAGTAAAAATTAATATGTTCAATTTATAATTGTTTTCGATTGTGCTGATTTTGAGGTTATGTTTTCTCATTTCTGCTGTCTTTTTGATGTATTAAAATGTTGAAACTAAATATTAGTTCAATTTTTAATAAAATATTTCATAATTTAAAGGTATAGTGAAAGATATTTATGTGTATATCGTTTTTTATAGTATTTAGCCAACCTAAGTGTTTTGATGATAAATTAAGATGAAATGGAAAAGATGCATTTGTGATTCAGATGAAAACAATTCTTCTAAGTTATTTAAATGGAACGATTATGTTTCTGTTTTATCATGTATTTAAATATTGGATGTATAAGATAACCATATACAGTTACATCTACCGTAGTAATACTTTCAATTACCCCGAGTAAACATGTTCAAGATCTTCTTATTGCATTGCACTTATTATAACTAATTCCCGGTTTCGCACATTGTGCTAATATATTTCTGATGTAAATCTTTATTAAGCTCAAAGAATAGTTTAATATAATTATATACAATATATTTTTACTTAAAACATTAGTAAAGTTGTATAAAACATTCAATTAGCTTAATAATATAAATTTGTACTTTTATCTAACAATGTTTAATGTTTGTATCTTATGAATTATTTGTTTGTTAATCACATTACCTTTTTTCAGTTTATGAGCACAGTTCGAACAGCTGTACTGTTAGATGAAAAAGTCAACGAAGATATACAGAATGCAATATATAAACCACGTAAACATCCTGGTGTTATGAAATATAAAAATGTTCAGCTTCCAATTGAGTATATCAAGGCAATGGAAAATTCTATACAAGGTAATAATAAAATACTTTTATATATAAATGTCAAGTATTTATAATATGGTTCATGTTTGTTCTTTAGATTTTCCAATAAAGAAATTAGTAAATGATGGCCAAGAATTAAACAGATACTTAGCTGGAAGACACCCGCCTCCCACACAGCTCGAAAGGCGAGATAAATATGAACAAATTAGATTAAAAATATTAGAAAAGTCAAAATATAAATTTACTGATGACATGCCGGAAGAAGAAAGAGTTAAACAAGAGAAATTCTTACATAATGAAGTAATGGTAAAATGTAATAAACAAATATATGGCTGGAAGCCAATGTCGTATGATGATTTGGGAGCTCTGACTTATATGTTTGGAAGATCTGCTCAGGAATATGCTGTACTTGTTAGAATTTTTGGAGAAATATATGACAGGTAATAAAAGTAATTATTTGAACTCCAATGTTCTCTGGTAATAAGTAAAAAGTATTAAATTTGTATTTAATTAAAAATATATTAACTCTTTTCAGTAATTAAATATTATTTGTGTATAAATGTTAAAGTAATAGTGATCCTTTCATCAATTTACATAATTATTATTATGATTTTTCTAAAAATATTATTTTTATTAAACCTGTTTCTTTATTATTTTTTCAGGGTTCCTGATTTCAAACCAAAAAGTTTCTTGGATTTTGGGTCAGGTGTAGGTACTGGTACATGGGCAGTAAACCATTTTTGGAAATCAAACATTTTTGAATATTTTTGTGTTGATTCATCAAGTTCAATGAACGACTTGGCTGATATTATTCTCAAAGGTGGCCGGGGGAATAAACTGAACCCTATAAAAGGAATCTCATATAGACAGTTTTTGCCTGCAGCAAGAGAGGTAAATTTTGATAAATTAAATATATATATATATATATATATATATATATATATTACTAGATGACCCGATACATGTCTTGTATTTATGTCTAAAAAATTTTAATATCCCATACTAATATTTACCATTTACCTAAAAATAATAATTATTGTTTTATGAATTATTCTTCACACCAAAATGCATATACATTTTACAATATGAGCGATGATGTAAAATGTAGAACTGCTTTAAATAAAATGCTGAGTTTTTTAAACAGTATAACAAATTCAGAAAAAATTAATATATATCCATGGTAAAAGTACAATATTACCTCCGAATGGATTTTTTCACCCAAACTAATTGCTTCAATAATGTTGCCTATAATTTTTATAATCTGGTGTCATATTTTAACTGTTTTTAGTAATTATAATATTTAAATTACATTTTTTTAGTAATATTTTAATATAATTGGGTCCTCAGCGCCCATTTTTTTTCTGGCGTCTCTTATTATTTTACCTATTTTAACAGTTTATTATCATAATTATTATCATTAATTATTACATGGCTTTTGAAACATTTCACTTACTTATTATGGGCATTTTATGCGATTTATTCTATTGAGCAAATCATAGAGATCAAAAAAATTTTAGCCTTACTTTTACTTTTTATTTATCTTTATTTTTCCATTTGTTGTTTTATTGTGAAATTTTTAACATATTTTAATAATTGCGCATTAGTAAAAGATGCAAAGAAATTATATATTTATTGAATTATATTGAAAGAGAAACTATATTGAAAATTTCATATCCAAATCTTGTGTTGGCACCCTAGCCAACCCTGATTATTACTTAATTTTATATTTTAAGTGAATTAATTTGTCAAATCCTGTTCATATGTATCATTCAATCTGCCATACATGTACTGTATTTCATATTATTTTAATTTCTGGCACATTTCAGCTGCTTTTTGGCAATAATAATGTAGATATTTTATTTTTCTTATTCACATTCATGAATTTATTGTACATATTTTTATATTGTCTAGACTCTAGACTCATAAGTAAATTGAAATTTTGGGCAGATGAGTTTTCATTCGTTTTTTGCAATTTTTTCTATTTATTTCTACAATATTACTATAATTTTATAATCGCATACATCATAAAATATTTCCTTAACAAACTTCAGAAAGATTTATCAAAATTCTTATAATAGTTTAGGAGGAGTATATCTACATATATACATCATTACAGAAAAATTTTATATGTAATAAAAGAGCATCAATTTTTAATATCACATGTATTTAAAATATTTAATAAGATTCAAAAACAAATACCATTTCCAGAATGGTGTTACACAAACTGTGATGCAAATAATTAATATTTTATAATTTTTACAATAAATTCAGCTATATATTATTTCTTTCAAGTCGGCTTCCTTCTGAAGATTCCCGGTCGACTTTATTGCACATTTCTATTTAATAGATCATTTATAACAACAAATAAAATAACATACTATATTATACTTTATGAGATTTCATCATATGTCTTTTAACATATATTTCTTTAGTGAATGTTTTATCACAGATAACACATTTACAGGGACGAACTTTTTGATGGGTCATTTGATGCATTTTAACATCATATGCTCTTTTGAATAATTTATCGCAGAATTCGCACTTGAAAGGCTTTTCATCAGAATGTACTAACATGTGTGTTTTTAGATTTGCATCGGCGCTAAATGATTTATTGCATATTTGGCAAGAATAAGGTTTTTCTCCTGTATGAACTATTAAATGTTTTTTAAGATTAAAGGCTTCAGTGAAGCCTTTATTGCATATGCCGCATTCAAACACTTTTTCTTTTGCGTGTCTTGAAATATGTCGACCTAAATTATGTTTTTCAAAGAACACTTTGGAACATATGTGGCATTTATATTCTTTTGGTTCATGCACTTCTTTTTCTAAGTGATTTTTATAAGCCGCATACAATTTATAAACTTTACCACATTTTTCACAAATATACTCCTCTTTTTTCTCGTAATTGTACTTATCAGTATCGTGTTCTGCCAAGTGCTTCTTTAAATGTGAATGTCTATGAAATGCTCTGTGGCATCTGTCGCATTCATAATCCCTCACACTCCTGTGCGTAAGCATATGTTCTTTTAAATTACCATTACTAACAAATGTTTTACCACACTCTTCACATTTATAAGCTCGATGTCCAGTATGTAATAAAAAGTGCCTTTTTAAGTGACTCGATTGATTGAAAGTCTTTTCACAAAGTGTGCATTTATGAGGGCCTTCAGACTGGTGAGTCAGAATGTGCTCTCGTAAATGAGACGGTAATTTAAAAGCTTTTTCACATATGTGACATTTATGAGGCCTGTAGTTCGTATGCGTCAGCATATGTATTTTGATGGAATAATTTGATTTAAACGTTTTACCACACGTATTACAAGTATTAGATTTATTACTGTAGTATAATCTGGAATCATGGCTTTCATATTCCATTGGTACATTGTTGGAGTTATCATCTGTAGTACTTTCGTAGTCATAAGCTTCTTGTTTTATTTGCGCATTCGGATAAAACATATCATTACTGATAGATGAATTTGTTAGATCAAACCTTTCGTATTCGGGGTCTATTATTTCAGATTTACATTGCACTTCGTTTTCTTCAAAATCATTTGCTTCTGTTTTAACTTTTGGCACGTAAGTGGAATCTTTAGCATAAGGTTCGGTTTTAATTTGGACATTGTTGGTATATGTTGTTCTTTCTGAATTATTGTTGGTTAAATTTAGAGCAAATATTTGTTCTGCATATGGACCAGTAAAGTTATTCATTCTTAATAAATTATTGATCAAATTAACAATGATATTCTTTTGTTTATTGGAGCACTAACTCACAACCTGAAATAAATTTAAAAGGTGATAAAATAAATCACATTTTCATTTCAAATCAATTAATTTATCAAAAATGTTGTGCTAATAGAATTTAATTAATTATATATATCTCTAGATACAATGAATATATAGAAATAAATTAGAAATTATGTGATAATACAGATTACATATTATTGTAATTGTAGAAATTTGCCTAAACTCCACAAAAAATAAAATCAAGGCAAAAACTTTTACACATGATTTAAATTTGAGCAGTAAATAGAAGCGAAATATATTCCATACAGTATAAATATACATAACATACCTTTTTTAAAAAATATTTCCATTCTTATTCCAATTAATTCCTGTCAACTTTGTTGATATAACCTTATGTTATTTACACAATTATTCATACATGCAAATTGTACACTATCATTTCTTTATATATATTTTTTAATTTATTTTCTGTTTATTGTTTATGTATTTTAATCCTTTTTTATTGATATAATTATTTATAATATGATTTGTTGCAATGTTTTCTTTTACATTTTTATTTAATGACATTTGACATTTGTCTAGTGTTGCCCGATGACAATTTTTTTTCCGTGGTATTTCGTCAAAAACGAAAATCAACGAGGTCAAACGATGTGTTTAAAATGGAGGTTTGAAAGTTTGTAAAATTGTGCAACGATTAATTTAATTAAATGTTACTCAATAACTGTATAAGTTGTTATAGTATAATGTTTGAAACAAGATATATAATGTTAAAGCTTTTAGTATCGGAAAGAATTCAATTTCGGTAAGAATTTGACATCAACATCTAACAATTAAATTTAAATAATTTTTTGTATAATTGATTGTAGACTTTTTCTGACGATTTTAACGAAAATTTTCATGCAATTTAATTATAAAAATACATTAAATGAAATAATGGCGTGATATTTTTAACATTTTTATACCCAACTAGCAAACCCGACGAACTCCGTTTCGCCACCAGATGGTTTCGTGAGAAAGATGAAGATGAAAGAAATTTTTGTTTGCTTTATATTTGAAAAGGAAAAATTTGATTTTATTATACAACAGTAATGATTTTATTTCGATTACAAAAATTAAGTGTTTTTTAGTTGAACTTCTCTAAGTAAGTGAAAGTGAATCCGCAAATTATCCGTTTCATTGAAGTGCTCTTTGGTCAACCACATTTTTTGTTTTTTGGTCTGACGTTAACACAAACAAAGCGGATGGTTTTCTAACTCGTGAACAGGCAACGTATAACTGCCCATGTGAAAAACAATGATTTTCTAAATAGTCTATTTTAAATTTATCCCGCAAACACTAAGCGATTGGTCTTGCGATTTGTTATTGCGAACGCAAGGCGAACTGGAAATTGCAATCGTTTGAAGTCAAACGGAAGACCAGTCGGAATCATTGGTATGTCACCAAATCGCCAGCATTTTTTAATTGAATGGTGAAATTTAGTGCGTGTACATCATTATTCTTTGCGGCCAGAAGTGCTCGTTGACTTAACCAACCATAATTCTGATAATTCTCACTAATGTCATTACTTGAATTTTTGGTGCGTGAAGTTCCAGCAGCTTGCATTAAGGCACGATGCCATGCACAACTAATTTTCTTAGCTATAAACCTTGCGGAGCCCGAGACCTTTCCAACGAATGCAAAATTGTCGAAATCGGTTCGTGCGTTCTGGAGTTATTTCGTCAGGAAGGAAAACCCGACTTATTTTTATATATATAGAAGATGAGTATTCGAAGTCACAATTTTTTTTATTAAGTTGTAATTTCATAAATTTGTGTTCAATGCCATTTTGCAAAAAGACAAGATTTAGTATTAGTGATCGAGAGACTGATGAATAAGTTAACAATCTATATTCCCCAATTATTCAATTCTAATTATGTATTGTCTATTTTTCAGATCAGATACGATATAGTCCTATGTGCCTACACCCTTTTTGAAATGTCGACACCAGAATTGCGTTTGGAGAAACTGGTAAAATTGTGGAACAAAACTGAACAATTTTTAGTTATCGTAGAAATGGGAACGAATGCTGGATTTAGATTGATTTCTGAAGCACGAGACTTTCTGTTGCAATATGATGCAGAAATATTCGCCCCGGTAATAATATTAATAATCATTTGTAACAAAACATTTTCAACAGTAAGTGAGGGGGCAATTCTGCTGTAACATAGCTCATAAAGTAGCGTTGTCATGGCAATGGTCTCTTATGCTTGTTCTTGGTATTGAAAATTATGAAAATGTCTATTCATTTGCTGTGAGATCAGGTGTATTTTATATATAAAAATGTTATGATAATTGAATTCTAGATGGTGCAGTTATCATAACATTATCTTCATTATCCAGCAAAAAAACTGAATTATTATGGTGTTATTTTATAATATTGTTATTTTTATTAACTTCCCGTAAGGCAAGTTATAGAAATCGCAATAAAATCGAAAGTGAAAATTTTTATATATCCTTTATATTTTTATATCTATATCTTTTATATTTTATATTTTTTATATATCTACGTTTTAGAGGTTTCTGAATATTTTGGCATACCTCAGAAAAAATTGATGTATGTGTGTGTGTATGTGTGTGTATGTGTGCGTGTATGTATGTGTGTGCGGATACAAATTTTCGTCGACGATTTCGGGAACACGAATGAGGCAATTTGAATAATTCAAAAAACATTCGATTCGTATTGATAAGGACACGTGCTGATTAGTTTTTGGCAAAGGCAGGTCTAGCCGTTCCGAAGATATGGGGCAAAAAGTACCAAAAACGGTAACTCTGTTTTTTAAGAGAACGGAGTGTCCGATTTGAATAATTCAAAAAGCATTTTACTTGTATTTACAAGATGAAGAACTGATCAAATTTTCATGAAGGCAGGTTTAGCGGTTTCGGAGATCTTGTAGAAAAAGTAAAAAAAAATGCCATTTGGCGGTCAAAAATGATTATTAGACATGTGCACATCAAATTATCGGATATTTTATAGAGATTTTAACAATAAGTTTAAATTTTGTTTACATTCCTATGGGTTCCGTACCAATGTTTATCCGTTAGACGGCGACGCGGCGCTTACGCGCTTGGATATTTTGTCTCTATGTAGTTAAAGCAGTACAATTGCTTTGAAAAAAAGTTTAGAATTTCCAAAATATTTCAAAATACATTTTTCTTCAAAAGTCTTTTTTTCAAGAAAAATAAATTTTTGTCAAAAATTTATGGTTTCTCAAAAGTCTAATTTTTTCAGAGTATATTTTTTTCAAAATGTTTATCTTTTTAAAAACAAATAATTTTGGAACGGGAAGTTCCAGCAATTTGCCTTAAGGCACGATGCCATGCGCCCCACTAGTTTTCTATCATTTATTTACATAGTATTTTTAATCTGTATATCATTTATTATTATATCTTTCAGTGTCCGCACTCCAAACCATGTCCACGATTCATGACAGATGAAACCCATGCAATTTTGAAGTAAAATATTCAACTATACCTCTAGCCGCTGTATCCCAAATCAAAACAGAACGATTCAGTTACATAGTTCTCAGAAAAAAAGCAATCAGCGACTCATCAACAGATGTATTAACTAAAAAAAAATTGAGGCAAAAACTCAATCGCTTCAGTTCTGAAAGAGAAGAATCGATCAGAAATCTTAATATTGACAAGAAAGAAAGTACAAGCGATGAGGTTAATGTGAAAAGTGATGAGGAAGTATATGATGACAAGGGTGATTCTGTTACTTGTACTTGGCCGAGAATAGTTAGGCCCACTTTGGTGAGGTCGAAACACACCGTGTGCAGAATGTGCACTTCTGATGGTCAATTAAAAGAAGTCGTTGTTACTGCTGCTAAACATGGAAAGTAAGTAGAAGGAAGAAATATAAAATATATTGCATGATATAATACATTTATACTTTGTTATATTGTTTTCTACGTATTTTTTATTATTTCTTTGCAGAACGGCTTACCATTGTGTGAGGTCGAGCAAATGGGGTGATTTGTTACCCGTTACTTTAACAGAAGTCGAGAAAAAGTCAAGATTTAGTCATAGTGATAATGAGACTGATGAATAAGCTAACTATCTATATATTAATTATATAAGTTTATAAAATATAAGTTTGATAATATAAACGTATAAGAAATTTGTATTTATATTCAACAATAGAAGATTTAAGGAGGAAGATTTCCAGGTATGTTCATTTTTGAATTGATACTTTTTGAATGATTTATGTTTCAATATATAAATCATCTATTTGTATTGCACTGTTGTGGTTAGACTTTCAAATGAATTTACTATCAGAGTAATTACTGTGAAGGTTTTATTTATTAAATTTATGTGTTTCTTGCTGAATTAAATGAAAAACTAGTGGTGCACTTAAGGCAAATTGCTGGAACTTCCTGTACCGTAATAAAATATTTGAGAAATTTTCAACGTTTTCAAATATATTATTACAAATACTGTAACTTTCTTTATTTTTGCTATCTTGTTATATTTGAGCAAATCAAATGTAAATCATAAATCATAAATCAATTTATCTCCAGAACATTAACAATCGTCATTTCATTTCCAATTCAATTTCTAAAAAATAGTTGCCTAATTTAAACAAAATTGAAAAAGTGCTCCCGTATAGTCACAGTCTAAACGCACTTGCAAATAATTCTGTGCTGCATTTTCACTTATACTGGGCTCAGCTTGGCGGCATTTCCACGTTTTTCAATAGTTTTCACAAAATTGGAAAAGTGTTCCAATTCATAAACAGTCTAAACGCACTTGAGTAAACATTTGTACCAAAGTGGCGCTTAGACTGTGCTTAGCCTGGGTAATTTTTTGAATTTTTAATCCAAAATTACAAAAATATTTTACGGAAAATAAAAAAAGATGTAATAATTTTTTATCCTCAAAAGCAATTGTTTTGTCAATACAAGCAGAAAGTTTTTTAGACCATTCAAATCGGACACTGCCATTTTTTGCACATTTAGCTGTGTATTTTCGAAACGGCAGGACCTGTCTTTGCCAAAAACTAATCATCTCTTCTCCCAAGCATTACAAATTGAATGTTTTTTAGATAATTCAAATCCGGTACTCCGTTCTCTCAAAAACTCGATTTGTATTTTCTGCACTCTTTGCTCCGTATCTCTGAAACTGCTTGACCTGCCTCATCCAAAAAGAAATCACCACGTCTCCTTATTAATAGGAATCGAATGATTTTTGAATAATTCAAATTGCTTGAGAAAACTTCGACGAAAAATTGTATCCGCACATACATACGTACACACACACACAGCCAAAATATTCAGTAAACTCTGAAACCTAAAGATACGCAAAATTTTTGGACGATTACTATAAGTCCCCTTGAGGTTCTCAAATTATCACAAAATGGAATATCAGTTTCATATATTTATTTTATTTGTATATACATTTTATATAACCTATTGTGTTAATATTGTACATTTTGTTGTATCTAATGTATAACATTTCATATTTGATCATTTTATTTATATAAATTTTTATAACAAACTTAAAATCAAGGTAATAAATAACATCTTCATACACATATTCAAACTAAGATTCACTCAGTATCCAATATTCTTAATCCTAAGCCCAGGTGTTCCGCCTCAATCTTATATCTTATCTTTGAGTATTATTAAGTACTAATTTCTTCTATCATTTATATTTCCAAAATTCACTTAAGGAACATATCTTTAATGGGAACTCTATCGAAAACTCTTGCTGCGATTTCTTTAAACAATGCTGAGAAAGAGTCCTGGAAGGATGGTTTCAGCTCTTCGAATAAATCTTTCCAATTTTCGTTTAAAAATCTGTTGGTTTGGTCTTCTAGAAGTCTGTCTTGGTCTGGGTTGTTGAAAGTTAGATACATTCTGAAAGAAATAGAATATTTTAAACTGAAAAATGTTAAATTACTTCTTATAAGTTAAATTGGTGAATGTGGTACCTTTTGGGTTGGAATTTAAGTTCAACATTTTCTATTGTGTAATATTGTTTGTTGTTTTTAGTCACCGGTTCTCCAGATCGTAAAGCTGCTGTAATATCCAAGTCAACTAGAGGAATTAATTTTATGTTATGAAAAATAGTTACATATGCTGTATATCTACATATATATATATAAAAAAATAAGTCGGGTTTTCCTTCCTAACGAAATAACTCCAGAACGCACGAACCGATTTCGACAATTTTGCATTCGTTGGAAAGGTCTCGGGTTTCGCAAGGTTTATAGCTAAGAAAATTAATGGTGCCTTAATGCAAATTGCTGGAACTTCACGCACCGTAATTGAAAATTCGAGTAATGACATTAGTAAGAATTATCAGAATTATGCTTGGTTAAGTCAACGAGCAATTCTTGCCGCAAAGAATAATGATGTACACGCACTGAATTTCACCATTCAATCAAAAATTGCTGGCGATTTGGTGACATACCAATGATTCCGACTGGTCTTTCGTTTGACTTCAAACGATTGCAATTTCCCGTTCGCCTTGCGTTCGCAATAACAAGTCGCAAGGCCAATCGCTTAGTGTTTGCGGGATAAATTTCAAATAGATTTTATAGAAAATCATTGTTTTTCACATGGGCAGTTATACGTTGCCTGTTCACGAGTTGGAAAACCATCCGCTTTGTTTGTGTTAACGTCAGACCAAAAAACAAAAAATGTGGTTTACCAAAGAGCACTTCAATGAAACGGATAATTTGCGGATTCACTTTCAATTACTTAGAGAAGTTCAACTAAAAAAACACTTCATTTTTGTAATCGAAATAAATTCATTACTGTTGTGTAATAAAATAATTTTTTCCTTTTCAAATATAAAACAAACAAAAAATTTCTTCATCTTTCTCACGAAACCATCTGGTGGCGAAACGGAGTTTGTCGGGTTTGCTAGTATTTTATAGAAAGTAGGCATTTCTTGGGATAAGTAGTTGATTTCTATTTACCAAGTGTAAGGTTGCATTTGCCTTTGCCAGTAATTGGGAACAAAAGTATTCGTCCCTTCGAGGTGAAATCTCCATCAAGTTCTACTCTAGGAACAAGGGCTTTGATACGCCAATCTACACGTTCAGATGAAAAGGATCTGAAAAAATAGAAATTATCAATTTTTATGAAAATACATGGTTGTTATTTAAATTTAAACCTTAGTTCATATTGTGACGAATTAGGGTTTTAAAAGTCTCTTCTTTGGGGGTTGCTGCTATGTAGCTTTTCCAATTATTTGTGATTATCTATCATTCATTCATACAATTTTTATTATTTTTACTTACTCGACATCTGAAACTTTGATTTGGCTGAAACCGTGCATGTCGCAATTTAAGATTTTAAGTTGGATGCTCACAGAACTGTTGCCCCCTTGATCAATTGATAATTCGTTTATTCTCAGAGGCTCCAGTGGCAAAAGATTTATTTTTGGATTTCCTGGAATAAAATAAAATATATGAACAAACAGATACAAAGACACAAATGTAATTTTTTTCCTATAAATATATAATTGCAACTGGGTGTAAGTGGCATTGTGCCTTATGACAAGTTGCTTGAATTTCTGATGATAATTTGCCAAATTCTTTTTTTCTTTGAGTACTATTATCTACATCTAAAATTGTTAAATAGTAGAGTATAATTACCATCTTTCATAATTCTGATGCCTTCGCCAATGGCATTTTGTAAACAATGGCTGTCTTCCATTTTACATCTTGGAACATCTGATGCTGAAAGTAGGAAATTTCTCGTTAAAATTATAGAATTTACAAGAATATTATAAATAAGTTATTAAATTATTTTTAAGAAATGATTAGGTTTTATTTTTCTGAACTGAAAGGCTTCTTGTTTTATAGAAACTATCTTATTCTTTTAGAATAGAAATAATTATTAAATCGTTGGGATGACCCTTTCTGGATTTAATGGATTTACTGTTCAAAAAACAATTTAAATTTATTTATTAAACAAAAATAAATTAATGAAAAAACTGAATTAAATATATGTTTTATTTTTCTGAACTAAAAGGCTTTTTGTTTTATCAAGAAACTATCTTATTCTTATAGAATAGAAATAAATAATTATAAAATTGTTTCGGGTATGTGAGATGTTCTTTTCTGGATTTAATGGATTTACTGTTCAAAATACAATTTAAATTTATTTATTAAGCAAAAATAAAATAATAAAAAAACTGAATTCAATAAAAATTAATGTATCTATTGAATTGATTGCGAAATCAAATATATTTGTTATAATTTTTTATGCCGAAATATTTTAAAGCAAA